ATCACACAGAAACCATATTCATTAAAATACTACTTGGCCCATTAGCTCTAGTTTCTTATTAGTTAATTCTTACATCTCAATTTAACCCATTTCTATTAATCAGTGTATCACCACGTAGCAGCGGCTTGCTAGGTAAAATTCCCAGCGGCTGTCTCTGGCAGATCCATGGCATCTCTCCAACTCTGCCCTTTTTCCCCAGTATTCAGTTCCGTTTCCTTGCCTACCTAGGTTCTCCCACATCACCTCACCTTTTCTATTTAAATAACAAGGAAGGGCTAAACTAGCAGGGTGGCCAGGAACTGGGCAGCAGAATGAACAACCGGGCCACTCCTCTTACACTGGGTAAAGTGTGCACGCCAATACTGGAGATGGAGGTTTTCTTATACCTTATGAACATGGAAAGCTGCAAATCGTGATGCTTTAACTATTACCATCCACTTACCCAACAAAAAACAGCAGAGAGAGAGAGAGAGAAAGAGAGAAGTTTCTTCTTGTGTCCCCCACTGGTTTAACTGGGATAAGAAAAGGGGGCCGGTAGAAGAGGCAGTAGGAAGGGTGGAGCCTGCCCTGAGCTAAGCAGAGATTCCTCATATTATTCTTCTTCTTAGATCTTTGTACCCAACTGCCTAAGCTTTCCTCCATGTCACTGAGTTTCCGTCTTGAAAGGAAAAAAATAAGGGAGTGGCGGCTCTAAGTCTTTCTGAAGGGTTTTGTTTAGAGGAACAGTCACAGAAAGGAGAATGTATTAAGAGAAGTGAACTCAACTATTCAGGGCATATGCATCTAAAGCAAAGCAGTGGTTCTCAGCCAGTGGGTCTCAACCCCCAAAAGGTCATTGGAAAACACAGATATGGACATTAAGATTCATAAAAGTAGCAAAACTACAGTTATGAAGTAGCAGCTGAGTAATTTATGGTTGAGGTACCACAACATGAGGAACTATATTAAAGGGTCACCGCATTAGGAAGGTTGAGAACCACTGAAAGGGATGAACCCAATTAACACACGATGACTCTCTCTTTACCAGCAAGACGTATTTCACTGTCACAACAATCTTAAATTTCCTAATCTCTTTGTCATTTGGGCCATAGCATTACTTTATAAAGAAAAAAAGTTCTGAAAGATGCATTTACGCCGGGCAGTGGTGGCACATGCCTTTAATCCCAGTACTCGGAAGGCAGAGGCAGGCAGATCTCTGTGAGTTTGAGGCCAACCTGGTCTACAAGAGCTAGTTCCAAGACAGGAACCAAAAGCTACGGAGAAACCCTGTCTCGAAAGAAAGAAAGAAAGAAAGAAAGAAAGGAAGGAAGGAAGGAAGGAAGGAAGGAAGGAAGGAAGGAAGGAAGGAAGGAAGGTAGGTGCATTTGAAAGGGCTTGCTTTGCAGGGACAATAAAGAACATCTTAATTATTCGTGTTTGAAAAAATCCTAAAATTAGATAATTAAGACAAATATGTCTTTCTGAAGTAACAGCATGCCATATATTATAATTAGTCTATGGGAATCACTAGTATAACAATTATTTGAATTAAGACTTTAATAGGCCGGGCGGTGGTGGCGCACGCCTTTAATCCCAGCACTTGGGAGGCAGAGGCAGGCGGATCTCTGAGTGCGAGGCCAGAATGGTCTACAAGAGCTAGTTCTGGGACAGGCTCCAAAGCCACAGAAAAACCCTGTCTT